GACAACGTAGAACTAATGAAGTGAGAGTGCTCTCCAATGCCCTCTGACCATGTGACAAAGATCTAACATGGACCGTAATGCCATTTACGTAGCCCTGAAACATTACTCATCACTCGCCTGCGGATAAAAGAAAGTCTATCAAGAGAAAAGAAGCAAGATATTTTGATTGAGGCCTTAGTCCATTTGTCTCCAACCATATTAGGTTTACTGGATAAACAAGGCAAAGCAAACTGCCAATCTTTTAAAAATGTAATTGTGTGCCATTTGAATGCCTGTTGCTATCAGTTTACAATTCACACAGTTTCCTTCCACATAGACAGTGTTATTGCAATTGAACAGCATTAGCATCATAATAAATGAGCAGCTCGTGTAATGGCCTTTTACATTTGCTTAGAGGGGAAGGTTTCGAAATTGAGGTGTGAATTTTTCTACTCTCACATTACCTGCGGCAGATTAGATGCTTGACATTTGCTCCTTTCATAGGGACCATTTAATTGTAGGATAAAATAATGTCTAAATTAAGGTGATAGCAACGCTAAGGTTGTGGTTTAAACCCCCAAAGAAACACATATCACTGAAAAAAAAAATGGTAACATCTAAATTAACTGGTTTTATTCAAGTCCCATACATTCATTTATACCAACAACACTATTTGTTTTGGGTTAAATCAGGTGGAAATAAATCTTTAAGGTAAAAATTGCAGGTTAGCAATTTTTACTGCTGATACATGTTACTACAGTACATACATTTGGTTATATTTATGCTTTAAAAACAAAGCAAAAATTATCAATATAATTTAGACAGCTCATTAGAGTTTAATAAACTAAAGATATACTCTTTAAGAATAAGTCTTCATATCTTGTGCAATTTTTCTTCTATGTAAAATGTTTTAAGGGTTTTAGATATTTTATTGGAAAATGACAAAAACGCTGATTAAGAAAATTACTCTTTGCAGTAATACAATCTATACATTTCAATGTTTATGATCTGAACTAGATGATTTTGGTGATTGGGTGAGTTTATAGACAAGGCTCTTATAAAGACAAATTTATGAATCATCATATTGACTCACGAGGCCGACATCCCAAATAATTAAAGTTAATAAATAGAAAATAACAAAATCTTGTGGTGACCTCGAGTTAACACATGTAGTATTGTGCTTTCAAAAATACTAGACTTAATTTGATTTTAAATAGGCCTATTGTTGTTGATGAGCTAGTCCTTCTTGTTTTTCTGCTTTTAATTAATTAATTGCAATTGTTTATTTTCATATTTACTAGAAATACTGGAGTCAGTTGTGTATTTCCTAAAGATAAATGTACAACACATTACATGTGAATTTCAAATTCATGTTCAGGTGGGAGCATGCCTTCAGATCAAAGGCAAAGCAATCAAAATGCTTTGCTTACCAGCAGGAGCTTTGATGTCCCCTCACAATGCTCTCATTGTAGCTCAGGGCACTTGTATAATGGACAGGTTTTCTTTCGCTTCCCCCAAATCTTCATGCAAATAAAACACGTCCTACAGTCATCTATTTGAGCCAGTCCATCCATCAATTGGCCAAAAACAAAAAGAGAGAGAAAGAACAAAAAGATGGATTAAACTGTAATAGAAAACATACCATCAGTCATTTGTCATCTCGTGGACAAACCAAAATGATATTGCATGATAATGGTAACATTGAATTCCTCATGTGTATTGATGTTTGTTGTATCTTCATTCCACTGATTAGGTGGTCCCGTGCTGTACATGGGCAAGACCAGCATGTTTATTGTTCCGTTACCTAATTCAATTTGGCCCCATCTGACTTTTTGAGCAAACGGAACAGATATAAATGCCATGCCAGAGACTCAGTTTAATAAGATATTGCATTATCATACACCACTGTTGATAATGTTTAATGATCTCTGCGTTAGAGATTAAATTATTTTACTATATTTCTTTATCAATCCTACAGTCATCTATTTGAGCCAGTCCATCCATCAATTGGCCAAAAACAAAAAGAGAGAGAAAGAACAAAAAGATGGATTAAACTGTAATAGAAAACATACCATCAGTCATTTGTCATCTCGTGGACGTGGCATGATAATGGTAACATTGAATTCCTCATGTGTATTGATGTTTGTTGTATCTTCATTCCACTGATTAGGTGGTCCCGTGCTGTACATGGGCAAGACCAGCATGTTTATTGTTCCGTTACCTAATTCAATTTGGCCCCATCTGACTTTTTGAGCAAACGGAACAGATATAAATGCCATGCCAGAGACTCAGTTTAATAAGATATTGCATTATCATACACCACTGTTGATAATGTTTAATGATCTCTGCGTTAGAGATTAAATTATTTTACTATATTTCTTTATCAAATCCAAACAACTAATGGCCTGTTAGAGTGCATAATATATTAAGAATTATTATACATATGTTATATTATACACATCAATTATATTATACATACAGTGGGTATAGAAAATAATTACTCCCCTTTAAAATAATCACATTTTGTTAATTCGCAGCCTGAAATGAAGATGGAAATGAAGTTTTTGATTTATCCAGCTGTATTTTCTCATTGTAACTTATAACATCCAAGTGAAAAGATATAACACCAACATGTCAGAAAAAAATAAAACAGAATCGCTGAGTTGGAGAAAGGATTTTTCCCAGTATTTTGTTGAACCACCTTTTGCTTTAGTCTGTTGGGATATGTCTTGCACATCTAGACTTTGTAATATTTTCCCACTCTTCTTTGCAGAACTGCTCAAGTTCAGTTAAATTTGATGGTGACTGTTTGTGGACTGCAGTCATCAAGTCATTCCACAGATTTTCAATTGGCTTTAAGTCTGGACTCTGACTAGGCCATGCACGGACATTAACCTTTTTCTCTTTCAACCACTGTGTGGTCAGTTTTGCTGTGTGCTTTGGGTCATTGTTATGTTAGAAGGTAAACCTTCTTCCCATTGACAAATTTCTGGCAGAGGGCAGGAGATTTTCCTCAAGAATTTGACAGCATTTTGCCCCATCCATTTTAGTCTCATCTGCCTCAGAATCTTCAAGGTGCGTTTTGGCAAAGCTCAGTCGTGACTGCATGTGGCCTTTCTTGAGGAGTGGCTTTTTCCATACAAGCCACATTTGTAGAGAATTTGTGATATTGTTGTCACATGCACACATTGACCACTCTTTGTCATAAATTCCTGCAACTGCTTCAGAGTTGCTGTAGGCTTCTTGGTAGCCTCTCTGAGCAGTTTCCTCCTGGCTCTTTCATCCAGTTTGGTCTGTGTTGTACCAAATACCTTCCACTTCTTAATAATATACTTCACTCTGCTTCTAGGCATTGATAAAGCCTTTGAATTTTTTTTGTATCCATCTCCTGGTTTGTGCCTGTCCACAAATTTATCCCGGAGATCTTTTGACAGTGCCTTGCCACCCACAGTTGATTGTTTGCTTCAGTTGCACTACCAAGGACTGAAATGCTTTTCATGCTGAACTAATCAAAATGACCACAGCTGAGCACGGTTGAAAGTCATATTGCTTTGTGTGCCATTGAGAAGGTGATTCGCACCACATGATTGAGTTTACAATCATTTTTAGGAGTGGGGTGAATCTTTTTCCAACTCAGTGATTCTGGTGTATTTTTTTTCTTCTGACATGTTGGTGTTATATCTTTCACTTGGATGTTATAAGTTGCACTGAGTAAATACAGCTGGACAAAACAAAAATTGTGTCCATCTTCATTTCAGCCTGCTTTAATATTAAATGTGAAAAAAGTTTAATATTTTACTTTATTAAATGTTAAATAGTTTTTGTAAATTATTAAAGTTTTTAGTTTTTACTGTACACACAGTAAAATGTCAGAAGTACTACTGATGTCTATTTAGAAATGGTTAAATATCTGTCATCGGTATTCTGAGAAAAGAGCAGACAGTTAAAACTATGAAACATTGGAGATGCTCTCTGTATCATCTGGATTCCACCTTTGAACTCATTGGATAATTCATCATTTTAAAAAAATATTCATCATATTTTTCTCTTTCAATTTAGAAAGTGATTTTTTTCAACTGTGTGTAGATTAGCTGGTAATGTCCCACACACACACACACACACACACAACAACAAATTAATTTCATACAGTCATTACATGAACAAGTAAATTGTTCAGTTTGGCCTATGGTGACAAAAATCTGATTTTGCTGGCACACAAGGTGGTAAAAAGGTCTCCTTTACATGTAGTCATTCACATTTTTAACTTTGAGGCTAAAAAGAGACATAGTTATAACCTAACCTAACAATAAATTAACTTTTTTCCCTCTCCACCACATTTGGACCTATTTAAACCTTAATGATTTAAAGAGCATAAAAAATTTATACCTTTTTAATTTTGGACATTTTCATTAAAAGGACAATAGAGAAGTGATAGGAAATCAGGTGAGCTAATCACTGGGCCACAGCTCCAACACGTTTTCCCATTTACACTGTTATGTCATGTATTCTTTGTTGTATATTTCATGATGTCAACTAATTTCACATTCAATAGCAACGACACACTGACGCAAGTAACCCGGTACTTAAGCAGGCACAGTTTGCATAACCATGTATGCCTACATTTGGAGGACAAATAATTAAACTGTACTGATGGCCTACTGCATGTGTTTACATATGGATATTCAATCTAACTGGCTTTTATATGTTTTCTGTTAAAGCTAGCTTGTCTGTGGCAGCGTTGACAAATGCAAGTGCCATCAAGACAGGACAAATATGGGATGTACTGGAACATTCAAAATATGGTCCCAAAATGATTTTGCCGGACAAATTTTTTCCCTTCCCATTTACCTCAATTTGTTGAACAAAAGGCAAACTAAATAAAAATGCAAGTAATGCTTTGAAATTACCAGCAAATCATTTTTAGTCAAGAGTTTAGTTTAGAATAATGACCTCAAGCACACCCTCTCATCAACTGCAATTACATATAATTCATTGACAAGGAAAATTACTACCACACAAACTGTCAATCAATTAATCTGGTGTATTATGAGTCAAACAATTACAGCTTGTGAAAATGCCATTCAGATGAGCTTGTAATAAACAGCCTATACATGATTTGTTCTTTTGGGAAAACGTTTATATGTAGCACTGTTAACATCATCTGTAACATATCTGGCTCCGTGATCAATTATATATTTATTCATCAGTCAGTTAAACATAAATTGATGCTTGACCACAGTAAATGAGACATCTTTTATCAAAAAAGCCACTATCGTAACCATGCTTTATGCTTTTTTTAATGCTGAAAAACAACAAAGGTCCATAAATAGCTTAATCGACCAATAAATAAATAAATATCATCATCAATGTCTTTAACAAACAAACTGTGTCAGAGTAAGTCCACAAAGACCTTTCTTCGGACACTGGAGATGGTATGTAGTGGAGGTCTACACAGTTCATGTCAGGTATCAGGGAGGATTGCGTCGTCGTTGCAGGACTGGCACCGTTAACACGATGTGAAGGTCTTCCAGAAGAAGTTTTTGCACGGGGCTTTGCGGTCGCGCTGTGGCAGCTGTGATAACCGGTTGTAGACGGCCCGCTCTTCCAGACGGGACTCCAGGGGCTCCTCCACATCAAAGGGGACAGGCGCTATCTCCCCAGCCAGCACACTGTTGTCTACTCCGTCCAACAGCCCAGAAATCAGCTTCAGGATTAGCTCCTTGCGCTCTTTGCTCAGCTCCTGATGAGAAAGCAACTCGACTTGAATTAGAATGCAAGATTTTAAAGGCTTCAGCTATTCATAATAACAATAACATGGCTGCTATTAGTACTAAAATGATCCCAGAATGGTCTCTTTTGGATGCTAAACATCAACGTGTGTCTAAAATACAAACACCTGCTTGGTAAATCCATAAAAGCTACAACTGGAAGCACATTTAGAGCTCACTGCAGCCACTCACCCTACTTAGTGCCGGGTTCCTCTCCTCGACTGGAAGCACAGCTGCTGCTCTGACACTATACAGCACCAGCAAAAGAGACACTAAGCTGGACAAAAGCTGCATACTGACAAAATAGTTGAAGTTAAAGTGCGGTCTGAGAAGTGAAGCAGAAACTTCAAAGTCCTTGCAGCTCCTGGTGCAGAGTAAAGCTGGAGAGATCTTGGTTTTTGAGAGCTTCAGGTGGCAGGGTCCTTATATACCTCTCGTTCCAGTCCCCTACTGACGCAGTGGTTGGAGGATGGAGGGGAGAGGGTGGGGGAGTGGGTGGCTTAGGAACTAACAAAAGCATTGAGTAGTTAACCCCCCAACAAACCAGAATGTTGTGCCGTTGGGGAGGACTGCGCAACAATGCTCACGTCATAGCTCTAAAAATGGTCCTGATTTCAGTTAAAACGGATGCGAGGAGAAAAAACACTGATGATGACGGCGCTACTGATAACGTGAAGTGATTCTGAAAAGTTCTGTGGGCCGCTCATTGTTTATGCTAATTATGATTTACATTTCTGTAGAGCGAAATAACATGCAGGCAGCGATTCATGTTTTAGGAAGTACGGAAGTCAAGACGTTGCTGTAATTACGCCACGTTCTCACTCAGCTACATTGTGATATCAATACAAGAAAATCAAACTAACCCGTTTTGTCGTGAACAGTGGCAGTCTGCTCTCATTCCAACGTGTAATTGAGCACAACTCCTCCTCCTTCTCCTTCAGATTGCCATCGAACCGTCTGGCACCTGGAACAGCTGAGAAAACTGTCTTTATGGAGAAAGAAGATGCTTTTGATCCGCAGATGAAAAGAGGCTGAATAACAAGAATTAAGTCTTTCATGGAAATGTAACTGCAGATTTTACCATGTAAGAATATCAAGCAAGACAAACATTAGCACAAAAAGCAAACGAGGTTATATAATCAACACTACAGCAGCAAAACTAATGGAAAAAAACGAATGTAATAAAATATTAGTTAATTTGGATGGAATAAGAAGTAACATATCAAGTGTTATAACAAGTGTTGAACACATAGAAAAAGTATTAAATGAGAATTCCAGGGATCTATACAAGTTACCTCAATTGACAGCATTTGAGACATTAAAATCATTTTATTTTTCTTTAAAAAAAAGCAAAAATCTGCGTTCAATCAGTGAGACACTTAAAACAGAAGTGAATAGTTTTAACAGAGGAATTAATATAAATGTTTTTATGAAATTATAAGCCTTACATTTCTGCCCATCAGCATTTTCATTGTTGTTGCGAGGGGAGAAGAAGTTAATGTTTTTGATTAAAGATTACAAAAGCACATGAATTTACAAATTTTTATAATTCAAATGACAATATTCCATAAAACTAGAATTTCAATTTTGAATTCAGTGACTTCTAGTGTTTTAAATACTCTTTTGTGCAGATAGCACTATACTCAAAGTGCTGTGCAGTTTGCATAAGCAGTCTATGTGTGTTCACACCGTGTGTTTAATTAAACCAGAATGAAAACAACAAAACAGTTGTGTACAGATCAATTATTTATAATTCAAATGACAATATTCCATAAAACTAGAATTTCAATTTTGAATTCAGTGACTTCTAGTGTTTTAAATACTCTTTTGTGCAGATAGCACTATACTCAAAGTGCTGTGCAGTTTGCATAAGCAGTCTATGTGTGTTCACACCGTGTGTTTAATTAAACCAGAATGAAAAATGGTAGCCTACCAGACCAGTTGGCCAGTGAAAATAAAACATGTCTTGGTCATGGGCCCGTCATGTTCTCATTCAGGTCAGCTTTTCTGTCATCCACACACCTCTTTGGATATGCATACACACACCCTGCCTGAGTTCACGTAGCTAGGAGCCCTAATACTCGCGCTTTAGCACATTTTTCACAGCAGACAGATATGGACAGACTTCAGGGCCCGGGGCTCTGTAGAGATTAACACAGCATTGAGATGAGCTGCCTCCAGCCGATTCGTGATGAACTACGTTTGAAGAATTCATGCCAATTGACCAGTGCCAAACACATCTAACGTTCACTTTCCAACCAACTTCAAACATATCTGGCGTCAGAGTAAAATGCCAATCCACATTCTCCTGTTGTCTCAGCAGGATTTTGATGACTTCATATCAGTGTTACTATAGTTCAAGAGATTTTGCTACTTGAAATAAAATAAACTTTAACTGAAACGTCTAGGTTACTTGTGTAACCCTCGTTCCCTGAAGGAGGGAACGGAGACGTTACGTCAGTGACTGGTATTCATACCCCTTCATTTTTTTCACGTTTTATGTTATGTTGCTGCCTTGTTAAACTACTTTAAATAACTTTTTTTCCCACATCAATCTACACTCCATACACCATAATGCCAAAGCAAAAAAACAGGTTTGTAACAACTTTGCAAATTTATTAGAAATAAAAAAACTTAAATGATTCCATTGCATAAGTATTATTTCTGGGACAGTTGAAATTTCGCTCAGGAGCATTCATATTGTTTGTAGATGTTACTACACTTCGAGTGGCGTTAACCTGTGGCAAACTCATTTGAATGGGTATGATTTTGAAAGGCACACAACCTCTCAATAAAAGGTCTAACAGCTGAAAATGCGTATTAGAGCAAAAACCAAGCCCTGAGGTCAAAACCACTGCCTGTAGAGCTCAGAGACAGGATTGTGTCAAGCCACACATATGGGGAAGAGTTCAGAAAAAAATTCTGCTTCATTGAAGGTTCACAGATGCATGTAGTCTCTATTATCCATAATGGAAGAAATTTGGAAACACTAGGACTCTTCCTAGAGCTTGGCCTCCTGGCCAAACTGAGCAATCCATGGAGAAGGGCTTTGGTTAGACTGGTGACCAAGAAGCTGATGGTCACTCTAGTTGAGGTCTATGATCATATGTGGAGATAGGAGAAACCTACAGAAGGACAAACATCACTGCAACACTCCACCAATCCAGTCTTTATGGCAATGTGGTCAAACTCAATCCTCTCCTCAGTGAAGACACATGAAAACACACTTGGAATTTGCAACAAAGCACCTAAAGAACTCTCAGATTGTGAGAAACAAGATTCTCTGGTCTGATGAACCTCAATTCCAAGAATCATGTTTGAAGGAAACCAGGCACTGCTCATCACCTGTACAGTAGCATCTCAACAGTAAAGTGTGACGGTCGCAGCCTCACGCTGAGGGGCTGTTTTTCAGCGGCAGGGACTGAGAGACTCGTCAGAGTAGAAGGAAAGCTCAACACAGCAAAATATAGAGATAGCCTTAATGAAACCCAGTCCAGAGTATTCAGAGCCCAAGACTGGGCAGAAGGTTCACCTTCCAACAGAACAATGACCCTAAGCACACAGCAAGAGTTGCTTATAGACAACTCTGTGAATAGCCTTGAGTGGCCCAGCCACAGCCTGAGCTTGAACCCAATCAAATATTTCTAGAGAAACCTGAAAATGTCTGCCAGCCCCCATCCAAGTTGACAGAGCTTGAGAGGTGAAGAGGTGAGAAGAATAATGGCACATAATTGCCAAATGCAGATGTGCAAAGCTTGTCGCATCATATAAAAAAAAAAGACTTGAGACTGTAAAAGACTGCTTCAACTAAGTACTGTGTTAAGGGTATGAATACTTATTTCAGTTTTCTCATTTTAATAAATTTGCAAAGTTGTCACAAATCTGTTTTTTGCTTTGTCATTATTGTGTATGGAGTGTAGATTGATGTGGGAAAAAAAGTTATTTAAAGCAGTTTAACATAAGGCTGCAACATAAAAAATTTGAAAAAAATGAAGGGGTATATATACACATATATATTCAGCTAGTTGCAATATTGCTAATTTTAATTTAGTTTAACTTGATATACTAAAATAATTAAAAACTAAAACTGAAATAAAATTAACAACTATGAAGACATTAAAAAATCTAATAAAAAATGACAAAATCACAACAAAATTACTACAGCTTGAACTAAAATTAAATAAAAACGAATTCAAATGAATTCAAAACGAAATAATTCTATAATAGTATCTCAGTGATAATAAATTGACACTGCTTCATATATCATTCATGAGGCAAAAGTTACTCAGGCTAGTCTAAATAAATAAGATAAATAATCTGCCAAAACCTAGTGGCAACAGAATCAACAACAACAACAAATGTTTTGTGGTTTTACCCTGTGTAATAACTAATAAACGCTGTAATGCAAAGTATGTCCACTTTTTTAAAGTATTTATAGTTGACATAACTATGCATTTTTATAGTTATATTGACTAAAAAGTGGATGTAAAAGGTGAAGGCTCAAAACAATTGAAACAACTTTTTAGGTTTTGTTGGTCTAGAACGGAAGAAACAGCGAAAGGGACATTTGTTGCTACATTTACAATACAATAAGCATATAAAGAGCACAGATAGACACTGTTGACAGCACAAATATTTACCTGCAAAGTGACTCCTGATACTCTTCACAAACATATCCCATACATCATTGCAGTCAAATAATGCCAGGATGTTTGTAGGCCGAATTTAGTGACACTGGCGCCATCTAGCGGATAGAAAGGCACTCTACAATCAAACATTTCATTAAACGTAGGCAAATTGTATAATTACACATAAGATATGAACATTTAATAACAACAAGCTATGTCATGACGGCACAGTAAAGTTAAGCGTAACAAACAAAGGTGAGAGTGTGTGGGGGGCTATTCATACACAGGTGAGCACAATACACACCCTCCCACCACACACTCGGATGCAATCATGAACACATATACCTGCACTCATACAGTAACTGCCTACTTTTATGACCTAATAAGTAAAAATAGACCAAGTATTGAAATGAATGATCAAATCTGAAGACTATTTAATACTGCTGTTTAATAAAACTATTCAAGTGTAAATAATATCATAATTTTGATAAAACATACAAAATAAGGCAGAATCTATATGTAGGCCCAATACACCTTTTGGCACATAACATCTACTGGAGTGGACAGATGTATTTTGTCACCAAAAATATTTAAGACCCACTGAATCTGAATTTAAGACTTTTAAAGGCCTTTTTAAAGGAACACTTTATTTAAGACTTTTTAAGGACTCGCGGCCACCCTGTTTATAGGAAATTAATACATCGTGGTTACATCATTTTTATTTCAAAACAACTTGTGAAAATCACAAAATGAAATTTACACCATAAACATTAAATGGTAAAAGGACAGAGAAACCCTCTTCCATACTGTTAAACTTGACAAGAGTACAAAATAGTTTGTCCTATGCAACTATCCTTAAAAGATCCTTAGCTATCCATTAAATACGCTGTTCTTTTGTCATAAATTATACCTCCATACTTATATTCAATATTAAGACAATGTCTCAGTCTTATAGTGTTCCTAATGTTAAAAGACACATCAAAATCATTCCATCATACAGAGTCCATCATGATCATGTGTTTGCAATACATTATAGCATATCACTCAAAA